GCTTGCGGCGGGAGTTAGTAAATTCAGGACGGGCGTCTCATAGTCCTCCGGGATCTGCGCTCACACGCAGAGATCACCGTAAAGCCCCTGCCCAGCTCCCCACAGTGAACCTCAGCTCAGCTTTGAAAAATTCCATATCCCTGGAATCCGTTGGAGCAGAATCTCTCAGGATTGAATTCATTTCACTGTGTCTTTTGCATCCACCCCGCTTCCTTTACAGTATTAATTAATTCAGCCAATGTATTCGGGGCAAGTATGTGCCATGTTCCAGATCTGTGGTGTGGTTGGGAATACAGAGATAATTAAACAGGCAAGGCCTGGGGCAAGGAAGGAGTGGATCTCAGATACGATAAGACGCCCTTTAGGGTGGCGCAAACTTGTGATCCCAGCACTCTGGGAGGCTGAGGCAGGAGGATCACAAATTTGAGCCCAGCTTGGGCAGTTTAGCAACTTCGTGAGACCCTGTCTAAAAATAAAAAAATAAAACAAGGCTTGTGGACGTAGTTCAGTCCAGGGCCCTGGGTTCAATCCCCGGTACTGCAAGCAAGCAAGCAAACAAGCAAACAAACAAAAGACTAGTGAGACCGGGCAGGGGCGTGTTGTCGAGGACCTTCCCCAGGGGTGGTGCTTTACTGCCCCCAACACTTCCCCACCTCGGGAACTCCTGTCTCTAGTGCACACCGCCTCAGGGAGACCGCTTGGGTCCCTGCCCGCTGTGTGAGTCCTCACGGGGAGCGCTGGGTGAGGGAGACACGCGCACACTCAGGTATCCACGAGATGCAGACAGAGAGCAGGGCCCCAGGGGACACGCTGGAAACTCACCTGGATAGGCCTGAGGGGAGAGGGACAGCTCATGGCAACCACAGGTACTAGGTGTGGGCAAAATGGACCCAGCCAGGTGTATTGTACCTGGAGAGTAGGGTGAGCTCGTGCAGGTCCCCAGAGAAGAAAGAGGGTGTGGTGCTTGCCCAGCACCCCCACTGTCCTTCCTTTCCCTGCCCCATCACCCCTCTGTCAGCAAACCCTCTTTCTTTCCCTTTCTTCTACCGGGGATGGGAATGTGGGGGATTCCCAATTTCTGCAGCAGAAAGTGGCCAGAGGCGGCACCCGCAAACCCGAGCCATGCCCTTTGATATATTACTGCTTTGATAAACTTTGCATTGAAATACAATATGCACACCTTTAAATACTACTTGTAAAGGTTACTATGGTATTTTGCCTCAATAGATAACACACACAATAGATAATGCACGTGGTTTAAGAATAGTTCTGAAAATTGATGGAATGAAATTCCCCTCTGTCCCTTCTCCCGCAGCCACTGGTTCCCTTCCACAGAGCAACCAGTGTTGCCAGTTTCTAGTGTTTTTGTCCGGAGCAAAAATCAGACCCCTGCACTTTTACACAGGCTTATTATACACCTCGTTCTGCACCCGAATTTTTTTCCTCTAGTACCTCAGAGATCGTTCCTGATTCCGCAGGAGCTGTGCGCTCGTGGCTGTGCCATAAGGGATTCTCACCAAAAATGCCTACAAGTGTCATCTATTTTCTTTCTGGGTGTGAACTCTGCCACAGCCGATGACCTTGAATGATAAGCGCTGTAAAGGCGATTGCTGGCTCAGGGGGATGTGCATTCATAATTCTCATAGACACCGTCAAATGCCCTGCAGAGCTGTGGGTACCAGCTTTCCCGTGAACAGCACTGTCAGAAAGTGACGGAGGCAGGATCCTTAGACGCCCCTTTTCTGTGCACCCCCTGGGCCCGAGCAAGAGCTGACACTGGGTGAATCCTTCTAGTGTGCCAGACTCTTCACTCTTGTTTCCTAAACTTGCTTAATTATCATAATCACCTGAGAGGCCATGCTTAAAGTGGAAATTTCTGGGCCTCATCGCAGACCTCTGAGTCAGAAGCTCCAGGGGAACACCCTGAAGTTTGCATTTTTTTTTCTTTGGTGGCAGTGCTGGGGCTTGAGCCCAGGACCTTTACAATGAACTACACCCCCTACCCTTTTTATATTTTTTATTTTGAGACAGGGGCTTGCTAAGTTTCCCGGGCTGGGCTGGAACTTGCCATCCTCTGGCCTCACACGGCCTGTGTTCTCTTGTTTGCTTTCAGAAGCGCCTGTCTCCCGGGGCCTTTGGTTTGGCTGCTCCCTGCTGCTTCTCATGGCCCAGACCTGGTGGTGAGTGGCTTGATGTTCAGCCCATCCCTGTCCAGAGCAGGTGGCCGAGCCGTATGGAGACAAAGGATGCTTCTGACTGTGCCAGACCTTGGCCTGGACTCAGAGCCTCAACGAGGGCAGTGAGACCCTGGAGCCTTGACATTTAAAAGGCACCAAAAGAAAAAAGAATTATTTAAAATGATCTAGCAAGTTCTTAAAGTCAGCCTGTCTACCCAGCAGGGAGCCCTTTTCTGTCCTGTGTTAGCCTCCTTTGTTTTCAGCCTCGAGTTGGGAGAAGCTGTGGGGAAAGAAAGGTGTTTTCTGTTAACAGCATGAAGATCTTCCGAGTCGCTGACCTCCCTTGCTCCCTTCAGAGAGCTAGAGGTGGGAGGAGGAGAAGATACCCTTTTAGCCAGTGCTGAGTCTGGTTTCTACTCTAACTTAATTTCATTGCCTCGGAGCTACAGGCTGCATTGGATTTCTCCTTTGATACTTAGCTGTGTTGAAATAAATGAATCCCTCAACAGGAGCCAATATCCTTGCCTGATTGCTGGGACTAATTGATGTTTTGGTGGGCATTGCATTGCTTGGAAATTAAAACATTTAACATGGCTCAACGTTAAATCAATTATTAAATACATTTTCCAGATGCTTTTTATTTCCTTGGGAATCAGCTGGATGAATGACTTCGAAGTTATCAGTTAAACTTTCAAAATCACCTTTTGTGATGGTTGTTGTTGAGGTGGTGGCTCTTCTGGTTTTAAGTTGCTCTGGGCTTTGAGGAATGGTTTGAAATAAAAAATAAAAACATTGCACAAAACCCCGACACGATTCTGGCACAGCTGCTGGCCCAGTCCTTCTGGGATGAAGTTACTTCCAGAAGTTGCCAGTTGTCCTGGGCCTTGGGCTCAGGAAGTCAGGGCTCCGACAAAGAAGACAGCAGGGGTCTGCTCCAGCTTCCTGGAGCCACGCCTTCTTGACAGTAGAGCAACAGAGCTACCTGTCATGGCCCTCCGCAGGTGACAAGGCAGGTATCCTGGTCCTCCTAGGTGCACATCCACAGTTAACTCTTCCCCTGGATACGAGGGGGAAAGCCTGTGTGAGTTCCCCAAGTCTGTGGTGTTGCATGAAAGGCAGATGAATTTTACAAAGCAGGTATCAGAAAGGCTGATGGATTTGCAGGTGTGACCTGTGATAATGACAGAAAATTAAAACTGCAGCGTGGAAAGTGTGGCCCAATTGGCTTTAGGGTCCTGTTTGCTTTTCTTTCATTCTGGTGAAGTGGCTGCCAGTGTTGCTTCCCAGGGACAGAATATTTCTCTCGTTACAGGCATCCGCAGCCCCTGGTGTCACTGGGTTGGACCTGGGAGAAGGATGCTGGGTGAGATTTATCTGTGAGGAGACTCATCAGAAAGGCTGAGGCACTCACTCAGGGCCTCATTTCCTATGGCCCGGGGTTATCCTGAACAACTAAAGGCAAACAGGGACAAAAACAATGCTCTGTTCAGTCTGATTTCACACTGCTGCCGCGCTACCTTCATGGCACCTGTATCTTATCTTCTCATTTAATGGTTTCTCGCTCTCTTTTTTGGCACAGTCCTTGCACGTGCTACCACTGACCTCCACCCCCAGCCTTTTGATCATTGGTTTCTGATCTACTTCCGGGTCATTCCTCCTGCCTGGAACAATCATAATGTCTTCCATGACGGAGGGCAGACTGTCAGCCTGTTCAGGGGGCTGTGACTGTAGATTAGACCATCCCATCGTCATCGAAACCAGGTAGGCACTGCGATGATGCCCCTTTCCACACAAGGGGACTGGCCCCAGAGAGGTTGAAGAATTCTGGCCTAAGGCCTCCCACACAGTAGGGATTTGAATCCTGACTTCTTTATTTCTGTGCGGTACCATCTCCAGCCTGAGAACCTTTAACTCTCTAATAAGTCCGATCAGAGAGAGATCCTGTAAATCATCCCTTCACCTCCTCCTCTGGCGGGAGGCCAGCTTGCCTCGCAGTGCATATAATTGGCAATTGCCTCAGGCAGGAAGACAAATCGAGCTCATGCCCTGCAGGACCCCTGGGGTCTCAGGTTGAAATGCTCAGTCCCTTGCATGCAGGGAAACCGCAGTTGCACTGGCAGGTGCTGTACCCTTACCTTTCAATGTCAGCCCTCCCCGAGGACCCCTGCCCTCCAGCTGTCCCAGCTTCCGCAGAGGACGCAGGAAGGATCCAGGTCATCTGCGCACAGGTGACGGTGTGTTTCTGGTCATGGCTCGGAGTGGTGGGGCCTGCGTCATCCTAGTTACGAAACATTTTAACTGGCACCCTGGCTGGATGCTTTTGCAGAAGTCTCAGCTTTAGGCCCACTTTGAACGCTGAGCCTGGCTAAGATGGGGGCGGAAAGTCTCCCTGCAACTTTGCCTGCCCTTCAACAAACTTGGATTCAGCCATTCTCTGTCATCCTGGTGCCAGGGTTTCAGTGCATCTGCTGGGGATGGGCCACCTGCCAAAGATCTCTCTCTCCGTCCCCTCCCTCTGTCCCCCCCTTCTGTATGTCTGTCTGTCTCTCTCTGTTGCTGTACTTGGATCTCCTGAAGAAATTCCATTATGGAAGAGAGTTACAATTTAATATTAAATCCTTCGGTGTTCCTTTCACCTTGAAAATTCTTTATCCACTTTTGCCTCTTGAGAGGCCTTTAAGAAATCTATATTGTAAAGGGAAAAAATGCGAATCAAGACTTGTCATGTAGAGGTACAAGATCCTAACAATGAATGTAACTGTACTGTATCCCTAAAATGTACCAATAAACTCAATTAAAGCTGAAAAAAACAAAACAAAACAAAACAAGAAATCTATATTGTCCACAAAATATACATCCAGCTTACATAGATCATGTGTATGAGATATAGAAAAGTTAAGTATTATGGAATTCTCAGGCCAGATAGTGTCCTGCTGGGAGATCTATAAAGTGTGTATCTATTATTATAATCACTATTAAAATTACTTTAATCGAGTGTGATTGACAAAATCCTATATATTTGTCATACGCACATATTATATTATATTCCAAGCAGAAGTTTTAAAAATGCTTGCATGGTGTGGCTTAACCTTGAGAAACAATTGCAACTTCCTGTGAAGGGACGGGTGGAGCAGACCTGAGCCTACCCCGCACCTTAGAGCCAACCGGAAGACTCCTCAGCAAGGACTAAACACTTACAGATTCCACTGAGGAGTGGGGGCTGTCCCATCGTGTTGTCACCGCGCTTTCCTTGCTCGGTGCTGGTTCTGACCCACCGATGGGAAGATGGCGGTGCATTTCCTGTCACTGGTGGTGTAGTCTTCTTTGTGAAGCTCCTCTGCACTTACAAGAGCCACATTACTTCATAGCTGATGAAGGCCCTTGATTTCTTCCCCCCACTTATTCCCATCTTCACGACCCCTGGTCACAAAAATCACATACTGGAAGGAAGTTGGGGGTCCGAGCTCATACTCCTAGCATGGTTGTTTGCCATGAAGACTTTGTATCTAATGATTCACGGGACTAACTCACCCCAGAGTATGTGCTGTTCCAACAACCAGTCCCTCTGGCTCCCCAGCATGGCTGTACCCCTGGTACCTTCAAGGTCCTTTGACCGGTGTCTTCCAGAAGAACTTCCAGGGCATAGTAAATATCACTAGGTATATGTGTGACCCATCCTTAGGGAGGAGCACTCCGGATCAAGAAGCCATCTGTCTTTCCCCTCGGGGTGTGGTCACCTTCTCCGCTCATGCTGGAAGACCCTTTGAAGTGACTGAGGTCAACACGTCTGTTCTTGAGCTGCCCTTTGGATATCAGCACTATACTCACTCACCTCTCTGCTGGGCCAAGCCCTCAGAAACCCCACTGTCCGCCATGCTGTCCTGTGACTCTCCCTGGCATCTTGGGATGGGAAGTCTGGTGTATTCCTGCTGGTGCTCGGCCAGCTGTGGGACCTGTCATACAGGGGAGGGTGGCATTGGAGGAGTGGACATGCCCATTCCTCGGGACATATCCCACCAGAAAATAAGCTCCCGTGGCCAGGAGCCTTCTCTGTCCTGCTGTCTGTCACTGCCCACAGCTTCCAGTAGGCTGGCTTTTCATAGTGTCCCTTTCATAGTTGCTGAATATATAAGGAAACTCACTTCTTTCCTTGCACTAAACTGACCTCAGTAGGGATTTTGAGAGGGTAAAGATTGGGAATCTTCAGCTCTGCTCCAGGGGAGGGAAGAGATAGGATTGCAATGTGTTTGTTTTACAAAAATTTGCGGGAAACTGAGTTTTCTGCCAGGCCCTGTGCTGGATGAGCAGATGCAGTGGGTCCTAAAACCCTCCACTTATGGAACTTGTATTCTGCTGGAGGGTGGCAGAGGCAGATAATAACCAACACATACATGTGAGGAATGATCAAAAACCATGGCAAATGTTTGAGAAATTATACCAGTAAAAGACATGTTTACCATTAACTACCCCCCAGCCCCCAAGAATCCATGCTCTTGCTTCCAACATATAGTTCTTGCCCCTTGGTGAGGCAGCACTGGAGTCTTTGTCCATGTGCATCTTGAGCTGCACTGCTGTGGGTGGCTTGGTGTCCTGAACTGATGCAGAAGAGTTACCTCTCATGGTCATTGTGACTCTGAGGGAAGAGCCGGAAGTCACAAGGTGCTGGGTCTGGAGGATGAGGAGGATGAGGACGCACTGTGATGCTTTTCACAGCCTGCCTTTCTTCGGCTGGCACTGGCAGCAGCAGTCATCATGGTTTCTTTTATTTTTAAATCACATTTTGTAAAGACACAAAAGAGACTTGCAGAACTGCACAGAGAGGTGTGAAGGATGGGATACGTGTGTTAGACGTAAGGGGGAATCTTTTGAGGGATATTAATGGCAATTTGTATTTACTATAATAAACTTGTAGAATTTAAACATTCATCATGTATTTTGATCACATCCTCCACATCAGATTGTAATCAGTATGATGCAGCAAAAGAAATGGGAAATTTGGGAGCTCTAGGTGAAAGGAGTGGTGGGGAACTAATTTTAAGAAGGAACCAGGTGGTCAGCAAAGGCAACCGTGAAAAGATGGCGATGGAGCAGACACGATGGAAGGAGGGAATCCCCCTAGAGAAGCA